TCTGTCGATGTTGAAGTACTGCTTGCTAGCGTTGAAATTGTCTCAGTCGGTGTTGTTGTATTGCTTTTTGGCGTTGACGTGGGTTCTGTCGATGCAGAAGTACTGCTTGCTAGCGTCGAAGTTGGCTCAGTCGATGTTGAAATACTAGTTGTTAGCATTGACTTTGGTTCTGTCGATGCAAAAGTACTGCTTGCAAGCGTCGAAGTCGGCTTTGTCACAGTGCTGCTTGCTAGCGTTGTTGTTAGCTCTGTTGATGCATAAGTGTTGCTTGCTAGTGTTGTTGTTAAATCTTCCCCTGCTGATGTGCTGCTTGCTAGCGTTGTCGGCGCTGTTGATGCTGAAGTACTGCTTGCAAGCGTTGAAGTTGGCTTAGTCACAATGCTGCTTGCTAGTGTTGCTGTTGACTCTGTCGGTGCAGAAGAACTGCTTGCTAGCGTTGTTGTTGGCTCTGTCGATGTTGAAGTACTGCTTGCTAGTGTCGAATTTGGCTCAGTCGGTGTTGTTGTACTGCTTTTTGGCGTTGGCTTTGGTTCTGTCGATGCAGGAGTACTGCTTGCTACCGTTGTTGTTGACTCTGTCGGTGCAGAAGAACTGCTTGCTAGCGTCGAATTTGGCTCAGTCACAGTGCTGCGTGCTAGCGTTGTTGTTGGCTCTGTCAATGCATAAGTACTTGCCAATGTAGAGGTCAGCTCAGTCATAGTGCTGGTTACTAGCGTTGATATTGCCTCACTCGATGCTGAAGTACTGCTTGCTAGCGTCGGAGTTGGCTCAGTCACTGTGCTGCTTGGTAGCGAAGTTGGCTCAGTTACAGTGCTGCTTGCTAGCGAAGTTGGCTCAGTCACAGAGCTGCTTGCTAGCGTTCTTGTTGGCTCTGTCAATGCTGAAGTGCTGCTTCCCAGTGTTGAAGTGGCCTCAATAGATGCTGAAGTACTGGTTGTTAGCGTTGTTGCTTTCTCTGCCGATGCTGAAGTACTGCTTGGTATCATTATTGTTTGCTTCGTCGCTGCTGAAGTACTACTTGCTGGCGTTTTTGTTGCCCTCGGGGAAGTTGGAGTAGTTGCTGCTAGCGTAGACGATGGTTCTCTTGTAGTGGTCGCTGCGAGTGTTGATGTCTCTGTCGGAGTGGTGATTGCCGTTGAGTTTGGAACTGTTGATTTCGAAGAAGTGTTTGGCATCGTTGAGGTTAGCTCTTTCGAGATGCTGCTAGCTTCAGTTGTTGTCAACAATGGTTCAGTCGTTGCTATTGTTGTCGTCTTTGCTGTTGATGTTTTAATTCTCTTCGTGCATCTGATCTTTCTAATGCGCTTGCAGTTCGAAGTATACCAACGTCCTTTTCTGCATTCTAAGAATGCTTCAACAATTGACTTCCTAGTATTGATTTTATACCAATTTCCTCCACATAAGTATTCAATGGAAACATCGTAGCCATTAGCAGTGCACATCACTTCTGCTTTTCTGCTGCATTTTCCTACCCCATACCTGAATGAGCCTATGTGTAAATCCTACTTGTATCGGGTGTCTCTACTAGCTTTCATTTCGGTTTAACATTTTTCGCTTATTAAGCACAAAAATTGATTTTCACGTATGTTATCAACTTCCAAATTGTAGCTTCTTACCTTACTTCCGGTGCTACACATTTTGTACGGCCTCTACGATTTCTGCAGTTCACTGTAGATATTTTCGCGCACTTTGGGCATTCTGCAATTTGCAAAGTCAAACGACATCCTTCATTTTCCCGGATGCCATGTATTGATTTGTAATGTATTGCAGGTTACTGATTGGCTCAATGGCCAGCTACTTTTGCTCTTCAGATTTTGACAAGCTTATACAGGCCAAATATATGTTTTTGAGGAGTCTTACCCTTATCACCTCCTGGGGCACGTGGAATGTTTTTTGGATAATACGGCTCAGGTTCTAGGGCTCTCACTTGTGTGCTTTGAACCATTCCATTGGTCTAAATAACGCAGTATTCAGCTGAGTCAACTTTCTATTTTGTGTTTGTTGTAGTCATTAACATCATGAGGCAACCGAAAATTTTGAGCTAAATTCCTGTTATTTGTCTGATGAACATAAATATGAGATCGTAGATCATTTGCCTTTCTATATCCATGCAACGTCCGGATGTAGAAGCTTTATCTACCTCTTAGTTTTCAGGTTCCTAATTCTCGGCTGCAATATACAGACTGTAAATAATCTGAAGAAACCTATTTTGGATTACCTTCTAAGTTTCTAGCGTAATTTGTTACACGCAAAATCCTCACAGTAATAGATCTTGATGGTAGTAA